AGCTTGGTATACATAACAGAGCACCCATTTTTTAAACTAATTAGTTCGTTTAGGCATCTTTAGAACAAATTTCCTCTATTTTATGGTGGAAGATTTATGCATCAATAACGAAATACTACTATGTGTAGTAGTATAATGACCATGTTAGAGCTTCGCATAAATTTTTAGGGCAGTTTCTGGCCAAATTACCTGGCTGACGAACTGACTGTTAGATGAATCTTAGGTGTTTGTTTTGTTTTGTAGGGCTTGCCACACTTTTCGAATGGTAACCTAAGTCTGCGAAGAAAACAAAAATAGACTAATTTATTTGGAAAAGTATCTTGCAGTACTGTTTTTCGAATGGTACAGGTACGTAAACCGATAGCTTTATCATAAAACGACAACAAGAATAAGAACGTTATGAATTTATGAAAGACCTGCTAGGTTAGTGAATCTGACATAGAATACAGTGTTTGCGATGACGACACTCAACAACATCTGCGCGTGACAACTTGCTAAGCGTGTAGCGTTATAATTTATATGTGAAACGCTCGTACAACGCTCATTGTTGAAGACATCGGCTCGGCAGAATGACAATTTTGGGATATCTATCGTTTTCGGTTCCCTAAATGAGATAAGTCCAAGAATGTGCTTTGCAGCTTCAAAAGGTATCGATAACCGCTTTTTCAGACGTGAAAGTGCTATTTGGGCGGACGACGTAAGCTTGATCTCCAAAGCGCGTTTGGCTCGTGAGTGGGAACACCGTATCCATCTCGGCGGCAATTGGATTATCGGCTCCAACAGTCACTTTCTCGACTCGCCCAAACAGACTTTTCACATCCACAAAAGTGGATTATTGATATCTTTTGAAGCTGCAAAACACAGCCTTGGACTTAGCATATCCCAAAGTTCTCATTCTGTCGAGCCGCTGCCTTCAAGTCTTACGCTGTGAATCTGTTTACGCGAAATGTTGTTGGCATTACCCCCAAAGACACCACATTTACCACCACATTAAATTACTCGACAGTTTTCCTAAGGCATTTCAACAGAAATGTAAAACTGGTGTTTCTGCTTATTCAGAGCTTTTTTCAGACTAACGTGCTGAGCTTGTAAATGGGAGATCAGCAAACTTGGTAAAAGACATTTTTACTGGCTTCAAAAGTTCGAGTAACCTGCTGACCTTCGCTTGCTTTATGTATTTAGTAAACACGTCTAAAACAAAACGAAAACGTCTTCATTGTAATTTGTATCTATCCAGGCATCTTGACATTCAGCCCTGCAGTCCGAGTGCTGATAAAATAGGTTTCCTTTTCCAAGAGAACTGTTCGGATACACTCTTCATGGTTAGGAATTGAAAGTACTAATGGTTAGATTTTTTACTGCTACAGGGCGCTCCCAATTTCGTGGACTTGCAGTAATGGTAAGGAAATTTTTTGTAAGTAGTACCTGTTAACAAAGCACTCTTAATATACCGAACTGCTGACCCTGTGTTAAATCAATGCAATTTTTTTCTGAGCTTGTTTTCAAAAAGTCCCGCAGGATTTATGATTCAAATCCGCTAATGCCGCATATCAAATCGGACGGTAAAGCTGAATTAAATCTTTGAATTTGATGCCTTATTACTTCAAGAGTTTCTAGCAACGCAGACGTTTCACCTCCAGTAAATTTCTGGAGAAGAAAGAATTTAGGAATGGTTATCTAAGTCATGTAATATTAAAGCAAATGTCTTCCATAATTCTTTCAGATAAATATGATAATTGAATTCTTACTTTGTCTAGTCATTTCTAGAAGTTACAAGGTTGTAATTAGCTATCGATGTGTCAGCTTGATCGGAAATCAATGTCTTTTCCTTGCGCGATCGCGGACAGAAGTTCTAAAAATGTAGGAAGCATATCATTTGTTAAAAGAAGGCAAGCTTCACGAGATAGCATTGCAAGATCCGCAAAAAGTTCAATATACATAAAGTTTTGAAGCAAAGCCTGGAAAAAAAATAAAAAAGAAGAAAAAAGAAAAAATACAGCTTACATGTAAAAATTACAGCCGTGGAAAAAATGCAGCTGTACATATGGAAGTTTGATGTGGATGCTAACCAAGTTGCTAGACCGTAGAAGCGTTTTGGACGAAAATTGGGGCCGGTAGTACTCTGGTCATAATCCCGAGTTCAGAGCTGAGCGTTAATTCGGAGTTAATCTCGAATGTGCCTTCATACCGCGCCGGCAGCCGCCGCGAGCAGCCCGCAGCAGCCGTTGGCAGTCCGTAGCAGTTTGCAGCAGCCGCCGGCACCCCGTAGCCGCCGCTGGCCGCTTGTGTCATAGAAGCGCAGAGTCACTAAATCCTTACTACTTTGAGTGCTCCCGACCACGCTTTACACCTTCCACGCTTCTTTCTTTCTACTGCCGCCAATGTGCAGTTCCACACTTACATATTACAGGTTTATTCGAGATAAGCACCAGTCAAGGATATGATTGAAGTAGAACTATACTTAAGATATAACCGCGAAGAAACTTTGGCAAAAATATGGTTCAACTGCAAGAGGGAAACTGAGCACCAAAAGTATAACCAATTTACGGCAACAAGATTCTAACAACAATGAACATAGGTATGATATATGAGATCGAATTGCGACAACAGCAAGGAAAAAGCGTGGAAGATGGAAAGCGTAGACGTTTGCACTTGGAGTAGTAAGCATTTGATGATTTTGCGCTTCAAGAACAAAAGCGGCCAGCGGCGGCTACAGGCTGCTACGGGCTGCTAGCGGCAGCTGCCGGCACGGTATGAAGGCACCCTGAGTTTTGTTTTAAATCTCCGACTTAACTGCGAGTTTCGTATCTCAATCAAAATATCGCTCCACTACTTGAAAAACCACTAAATGTTGAGGAGATCCTATGCACATCATCGTAAAACACTCGGAGGAAGCCGGGAATTAAACTTCAGTTGTCCAAGGCACGGGGTGGACTACTAGACCACTAGACCAAGCAGTCACTTCTTGTGTAGTTACGGCTATGAAGTAATCCCCGTAATCAAGATCTTACAGGTCGACACAAGACACGTCGAAAAGCGTTGCTTGCCTTTGAGTGCCTGGACATAAAGTCTCCTGCAGATGCTTACAGAATGAAACATGAACATAAACCCTAATCCGATAACCCGTCCCACTCCACTCTCCGCTTATTTTAATATGCACTAACTTGATGAAAGCAAAAGTTTTTATTGATATTTATTTCGAATGACCTATATTTAAATTTTGTAACAATATTAGAAAATACATGAAAATGGAACGTTATTCGAAATCCAAATGACCTCCAAATAATATAACAATTTCGAAATAATTTTCCAAAGGTTATTGTTAACAGAACAATGGAATATTTTTGAAAAACAAAAACTATTAACTAATTTGCTTCTTTGCTAAGAATCAACTTAAGTTAAGATTCTCGCCTCCTTCCATATATGCCCACCGTAATTTACATTCTTCATTGAAAACTGACAGCATATCTATAATTGCACTGCCAAAATGAACGCAGACTATGCTATAGATCGTACGATAGACTACTCATATTCTGTAATATTGGGTAGTCTACCGTATATCTACCAAACCGCCATACAACGCTGCAGTAAAAATTGCAATATGGTCGTTAGCACACCATATAACGCCACTGAGCCAATTGTGAATCTACTATATAACTTTGACTTAACTAACAATCCTACCGTGATCACTCTCTATGTCCCTGAGATGAAAAATTAATATCATATTCATGATCAGCGCACCAAATAACCCCGCCAGACCATTTTCAATCAATTCCATGATATCTTCTTGCCTACGGTAAGCCTACCGTAACCTCTTTCGGCCCTGTAGCGGCAAATAAATATCGTACTCGGAATTAGCATGCAAAAAAAACCTTGTTGCAAAAGTTTAGTCAGCTGCGGTTTTCTTCCAACCACCGTATAACCGTAACCTCATTAAATGGACCCGCTGATGGAATGTCATATTCGTGATTAAGTGCCAAATAACCCTACTACCAAATTTCGACAAATTTTATGTTCAGCTTGTCGAATAACCCCCAAGGCCAAAATTTCACAAAATCTTAAAATTCCGTCTTGAATGGTGTACCACAACACCCCTTCACGCTTGCTGAAATGAGCAAGTTGTGCTTCGAAAAATTTTTTAGCTGCTTTCTTCTGCACATTATTCCCCTTTCTCTAACCGAACTCGGAGTTAACTCTGAGTTTCGCGAGAGTCTGAAACTCGCATACAACTCGGATTTAACGCGAAGCTCAGTTGCGCGTTTCGCCGCCTAGCTTCTTGTCAGACACGAGTTACGCTATGTTTCCATACTTGGGATAAAGTACTTCTTCCGGAGTATCTCGTCACATCACTCCCGTATTTGGTTTCTGTGTGCGCGTGTTAATGGTCTCAGAAAAGTGCGCGACTTTTTACGCGCAAACTTTACGCATTCCACCTGCTGTGCAAGCGCACTATTTTAGGCGGGCTACTCGAATCTACCAATCTTCATTTTTGAGAATTGAATGATTTCACATTTTACTTTAAAAGTTTACGTGGATCACTTTCTGCGCTTGATCAAATGCCATCTTTCTTATCTTGCTTACCTTTAACGAATGATATGTTTCTACATCTTCAAATTTACTTGCTATTAGGTTAGAGAAAATTGAAGCGTTCCTTGCTCTCTAGCGCAAGAAAGGTCATTAGTTTCCGAACAACCTAGTGTTCTTCATATTGTTCAAAAAATGACGGCGATAGCCGCTTACGTGTATCTCTTCTGAAAAGCAACTATTTGCTTTTGAAACATTGGCTTATCGAATACATGCGAAAAAAGGAATGCTGAATCAAGCCCAAGAGACAATGACAGTCAGAGTGGGTTGGGCCCATTTTTTGCCTATCCTCCCATTTTTTCAAGCGTCTTTTGTGATCACCTAACACAAATCGATAATAAAACTTCAACTTACAGCAAAGTTGCAACTCTCCTGTCACCTTTGCCCAAATAGACGGTGATTCTACCAGGTCGGAATGGGTTTTCGAAGTACATCTCCGAGAAATCATCACCTGTTCCTGTTTCAGAGAATTTGCGATCTTCATACTTGGTAGAATAAAATGCGACTGGATTTTCGTTTGCACGATTGTATTTGATGATTTTTCCCTTTGCGTCCACCGAGTCTTTTCTCACCACCAGCAATGCAACAGTAAGCGTCCGTCCTTCCCACTTCCAACGAACGTAGTCCCAAGTATAAAGCTTCCATGATGAATTAAAATACCACTCCTCTTCGTTGAAAGCGCATATTTTATGAGTCTCTCTCCCGGTGTCGTTATCAATTTGAATAAAACAGATATCTGTAACTTGGAGGCCGCTTCCAAGTAAAGCTCCTTCTTCTTTGCACTTTATATCTGCTTCTAATATGAACTGAAAAGTACTTTTAAAACGTTTTACATCGTTTATCACGGTTGTGATTTTAACAGTAGACAGGTTCGGCAAAAATCCGTTTTTTCTTACTCATACTTGTGCCTTCCTTCTTGCTACTACTTTATGCACTTGATAAAAAGATGTCATAAACCGAGGGGCTTCCAATTCAGACTAGATGGTAAAGTCGACGTCGACGTCAGCCAATAAAGTATTGTTACCAATCTTGGTAGTAGCTCGAAAACTATATCTTCAAAATGGTAAAGTGACTAGAAGTGCTAAGCTCATAATTGCTGCATAGTCAAATTTTAAGTATCGCAGCAGTATGTTATAGAGTTCGCTTTACAAGCTTTTTTGCAACATTTTTTGGTCAGCAACTACGTTCATACCAGTAGGTTTTCCATCGTATCAATTTGTGATAGAAGAACAACAAATTACTTCCGCGCTATAAGATCTAAATAACCTTCTTTTTTCCAATTAGAAATGGAGAAGAATACAAAAGATTAGTAAGATTAATCAAACCCTACTGTACTGAGAAGCACAGGTGCGATAGTGTGAGACTTTTCTCACCCGCTCTTCACCCCTGAGCGGGGACCAAGGTGACCCCCTTCACCAAAAGCCGAGAAACAGTGAGGTAAGGTTAAGCAAAGGAGATATTTGTACGTGAATTAGTGTATAGGAAAGGAGGAGTCTGTTGAAAAAAGTGCTTGGTGACGGGTGTGAGTAGTAATTTCTGGAGATTTTCGGGTTTTTGATATAAAAAAATTCATAACTTTTGTAGATGAACATCTTTTACGGCGAGATGACCATCATTAGAACCGCCTCGTTCTCCGCTCTCAGAAAATATACAGCATGTTTAAGATCCATTTAAAAAAGTGCCTGGTGCAGGATGTGCCTAGTGATTTCTGGGAATTTTCGAGTTTTCAGGATAAAAAAATCCGTGACTACTGCAGATGAACAGCTGGTGCAAGGAAATTATAACCATCGAAACCGCCTCGTCCTCCGCTTTCAAAAAATATATAGAATGTCTGAGATCCTTTCAAAAAAGTGCCTGGGTGAAGGGTGTGCTTGGTGATTTTTGAAGATACTTGATTTTTTATCATAAAAAAATTCATAACTTTTTTAGATGAACATCTTGTACGCCGGGATGGTCACCGCTAAAACCGTCTTGTCTTCCGCTTTCAGAAAATATATACTTTGCCTGGGGTCCGTTAAAAAAAGTGCCGGGTGAAGGGTGGGTGAGACTTTTATAATGGGAGTGCTCAAGTAGACGCCTTTTTACAATGGTAGAAAAGTCTGCACTTGAGCACTCCCATTATAAAAGTCTCACCCACCCTTCACCCGGCACTTTTTCCTACGGACCCCAGGCAATGTATATATTTTCTGAAAGCGGAGGACAAGACGGTTTCAGCGGTGACCATCCCGGCGTACAAGATGTTCATCTAAAAAAGTTATGAATTTTTTTATGATAAAAATTCAAGTATCTTCAAAAATCACCAAGCACACCCTTCACCCAGGCACTTTTTTGAAAGGATCTCAGACATGCTTTATATTTTTCGAAAGCGGAAGACGAGGCGGTTCCGATGGTTACTATTTCCTTGCACCAGCTGTTCATCTGCAGTAGTCACGGATTTTTTTATCCTGAAAACTCGCAAATTCCCAGAAATCACTAGGCACATCCTGCATCAGGCACTTTTTTAAATGGATCTTAAACATGCTGTATATTTCCTGAGAGCGGAGAACGAGGCGGTTCTAATGATGACCATCTCGCCGTAAAAGATGTTCATCTACAATATGAATTTTTTTATGTCAAAAACCCGAAAATCTCCAGAAATCACTAGGACACCCTTCACCCAGGCACTTTTTTTGACGGACACCAGGCAATGTATATATTTTCTGAAAGCAGAAAACGAGGCGGTTTCAATGGTAGCCATACCGGCGTAAATTATGTTCATCTTAAGAAGTTTTCTGTCCTAAAAACTCGAAAATATTCAGAAATCACTACCCACACTCTTCACCAGGCACTTTTTAAACAGACTCCAGGCAAACTATATATTCTCTAAAAGCGGAAGACAGCATGGTTTCAAAAATATTCACCTTGCTGACGTTGCTGTTTATCTACAGAAATTACGAATTTCTTCTTTGAAAAAAATTCGTAAATGGTTAAAAATTCTCTAACTCTTTCCGAAACAAATGTTCGCATGCACATCAACTATGGTAATTCCAAAACCAAGCAGCGCGATGTAAAAAAGGGAAAAGGAAATGTAAAAAAATACAAGGTGCTGGTCAGAAATATAACTGTATGCTAATCCAGCAGCGTATCACTTCACATTTCAGAAAAAAGACAAACAGTGATGGTAAGAAATTGGAAATTATGAACTTTGACTGGGAAAAATGATGGCTCCCCCCCCCCGTCGACATTTTACGATTTCTTTGCCAAGTAAAACACCCTTCACCCTGGAGGGGTTGCGACCACTGTGACCCCCTTCACCCTGGAGGAGTCATTCTCACCTTATCGCACCTGTGCTGAGAAGTAGAAGTGGAGTAGACGCAGATCTTATTCTAAAGCTGCCAAACGGTACTTCAAAAACTAACAAGGAAAGTACTTTCAGAAGTTGTGGCCGTTTAATATGATATGCATATCTTCCGAAGCGGTCTTAGACGCTGATTTCAAAGCCACATTCAGTTTCTGCAAAACTCTCTTTTAAAACGAGTTATGGAAGCTTGAAAATCCCGTTTTTGACCATTCTCAGGTCTGTCTGTGATCGCTGCTATACAGGTAGTGGTGCAGCGGTGTAATGGTTATCGTGCTCGGTTGAAGGCGAAAGGTCAATAAATCGAATTCGAGGCTTCTATCACTGCAGCTGCTCCATAAAGTTCTCTTTTTGAGGTCAAATATGCTAAAAATTTGCTGTAAGTGTCTACAGACGGCTTCAAGTGCGTATCTAACTCAGACTGCAAAACGATCCGCTGTTTAACTATTGAACCCTTGACCTCTCACTCAGCGCCAGCACACTAAACCATTACCCTACTGCACCATTCGCGTAGATGTTTGCGTGTACTCAAAGAGCGCCAAGAATTGGGATTTTCAGGCCTTCAAAACTTCCATTGAAAGAGCGTTTCGCAGAAGCGAAATGCAGATTTGAAATCAGCGTTCAAGAGTGCTCAGTGCTTTTCATATCAAATGCCCATGATCTCTTAAAGTACGTCCTTTGTAAAAGAAAGCCTATAGTTGCAAGTTTGAGCAAAATCCGCAAAAATCATGAAAATTATTTAGTGACCTGATTGGATGAACTTTTTTTCTCAGCGCAAGAAAAGGCAGGAAAATAAGGTTGCTTGAAACGCACACGTGCATCCGGCTTTTCGATAATACTTGTTGGGAGCATGGAACTCTACTTCGGAAATTCATGCCAAGGAGTCCATCAAGCTAGCGTAAGGGGGAAGAAGGCGAGTCAAAGTGATTTTCATCTTATTTCAGGAGAGTGACAAGCCTTTTCCTCTAAAGACTTGGGAGTTCTGGTAGATAGTGGACTGAAATTTGAATCACAAATTTCTGCCGTACACACACGAGCTTTTTCTATTATGTACACGATATTTCGCAATACTAAGGTCAAAGACGTAAAGGTTCTATTATAACTTTATAAAGCCTTAGTGATCCCTGTGTTAGAGTATGCGAGCCAGGTGTGGTGCCCCTCCTTGAGGAAGCATAAACGAAGTTTGGAAGGTGTTCAGAAAGTGTTCACAGGACTTCTGTTTTATCGGTGTTTCCCTAATTCTGGTTATCCACAGTTGCTTCCTAACTATGAAGAACGCTTGAAAAGACTCAATCTAAAGAGCCTCTCTTATCGTCGACATATTCATGACCTTATACTCGCTTTTAGGATTTTTAGGGGATAAAACGATTGAAACCTTCTAAATACTCGGTGTTCAGGCCCAGCCATGGAAGGACCTCTGGTTTTTCTTTATATGCGAAGTATTTTAATGGTGGGCGTATACAATTTAGTTTGCTGAGCCATGATTTTTTTAATCGAGTGCAGAAGTTGCTCCAAAAATTACCTCGTGAATATTTAGCCTGTAGCGATGGTAAATCATTCAAACGTGAACTTAGAAAAAGTTTGAATGAAATACTTCAGGTTGATATGGACTCCTGATTCAACTATTTTGGCCACTTTGGTTTTGCTATACTCAATCCACTTGATCTCAGTGATCTACTTTGCTATTTCCCAAATCAGTGAATTGACCAAAAAGCGATGCACTTGATCCGCTTAATCCATTCCCCCATTTCGCTATTGGATAGTTCATTGATTCGACCACTAACGAAATAGAGCAAGTGGAAGAAGTGGAAGTGTGCCAAGTATGTGTGCATAAGATGTATTCAAAGCAGCATTGCTGTCCCCTCTACTGGCCATATGGAGCCAAATATATTCAACGATAAGGGGAAGTGGAAACTAAAAATGGAGCGTGAATGTGCTGCTGAAGCCCGTGGAGACGTCAAACAAGACTAGAGGAAAATTAGAATGTGCCGCGGAGGAAAGAAAAACATTCGTCTGGCGGGTTGCTCGAGGCCGTCGCCAAAAGGTCGGTCGTTCTTTGAGCTCCGACTCAACATGTTATTCACTTTCGTACAGGTCATATGTTTTTTTATTATGGTAGTCACTATAAGCGCAGTTAGCTTACAATTTTCGCACGGCTGGTTGGTAGCTATCCATTATTTCTGAAAAGTCTACTTTCTTCCTCTATTTCTTGTTTTTTAGCTTTCCCTTTTTATATATGGTGCTATCCGCATCTCATTCGTTGTCAGACTTTATATGGGGTGTGATGCGCTTGAAGCTTGAAGGAAAGGCGCACATAATTATCTTAAAACGTTTGCATTCGGTTTTGTGGTACGCTTATCTCATTAAAAAATGTCAATTTCTGTAACTAATTTATTGTTCGTATATCAACGTCCTGGAGAAGAAGTTAGTTTTATCTAAATGTGGCATTCCATATAACCATCTACCTTG